TAATTATCACAGCAAATAAATCATTACATATTTTAATTATTTTGGGGATATGTAGGTAATATGAACATATAGTCAAAATTTTAAATATACCGAGAAATGAAGCCTTTTCCCCACCTTATCCTCTATTCTCTTGCTCCACACCTCTCCACGGAGGCAAACACTGGTAAACTCTGAGTGTCATCCTGAAATGATATTCAATGTACATGCTAATGTGTGTATATGTATTCTGATTTCTTTTAGTATGTTATCTTTGATTTTGTATATAGTGGTTTTTTGTTTTGTTTTGGGCTGAGAAGAAGTTTATTTTAATGTAGTTAAAATACATTAGTCTTTCCTGGGAGTTTGTGTCATATTTAGATAGACCTTCCATACTCAAATTTTCAATGGTTTCCTATTTTCTTCTAGTATTTTTGTGGATTCCTCTTTTATATTTCAATATGTTCAATATGTAATTTATTTTGGCATAGGAAGTTAGATATGTATACCACTTAATTTTTCCCCTAGATAACTTCCCAGTTGTTCTAATACCATACTTATGCCACATATTTAATATTTTTTCTATCTTCACTGATATGCAATACCAGCTTTATCATACTAACCATCAAAATATATTTAGATGTTTGATAATATTTCTTGATAATATTGATAATATTTGTTATCAATATCTTGATAATATTTATCTAGCTCCTATGGATCAGTATCATATTGTTTAAAATATTATGGATTTATAACATGCCTTCATATTTGACAGATATTCTTGTCCTCATTCTTCTTCTTGTTTAGAATTTTCCAAGATGATTTTCTCTTTTTTTATTTGAGTTTTAGAAACAGCTAATCTAATTCTTTAAAAAGGGAAGAAAATAAGATAAAAAAAAAAAAGAAAACTCTTTTATAGTTTTATTGGAACATTAATACAGTTCCAAATTATGGAAATCACTGATATTTTTATTGATTCCTTTTATTTAGAAATAGAGCATGCTTTTCATTTTTCTAATTCTTATTTTATAACCCTAAAATATTGTTTGGAATTTTTAATGATATTGATTCTGTCTATTGCTTACTGCTTATTAAATTTTTCCTTAGAGATATTTTATCTTTATCTAGTTGTATGTGTGTGGTTGAAATTATAAGTGTGATGGCTATTATATTGAAAACTAGAGGCCTGATGCATGAAATTCGTGCAAGGGCCTTGGCCCCAGCCCCTGCCCGTTGCCACTGCGGCTGGGGGCCTCTGCTGCCTCTGCCTCAGCCCCTACCTGCTGTGGCTTTGTCCGGAAGGAAGGTCGTCCAGAGGACCTTTAGTCTAATTAGCATATTACCCTTTTATTATTGTAGATGGTTATTAATTTCTTATTAGTAATTTTTATACAACCACCTTATCAATAGCTACTTTCTGATTGGTTATTTATTTATCTTTACATATTATCCTTGCCGAAGTCATTTGATTTTGCATTTGGAAGTTTTGAGAGATACTAGAAGTGTAAACTCTAAAGACTTATTTCCAGCCCAATTCAATTCCATATCAACAAATCATTATTGAGTGTTAAATATTCTTATGCTAGGTGCAGTAGCCATAAAAATAAGTTTAGCATCTAATGAGATGCATACCACACGTATAGCAATACAAGGTTTCGATAAATGCTATGAAAAAGGCTGAGCTGTGGACTTGAAGTTTTAGGTTTTGTTTTGGAGGAAGTAGGAATCATGAAATAGGACATTCAGGTTGTATAGAATTTTGATGGAGATGCAAGAGTATGTATGAGGGCAACCCAGGCAGAAGGCGGTACATATAAAAAGAGAAACACAGTCTGAGAGCACTCTACAGTGCACATTAAGGGGATGTTATGTGATTCCATGAGAGAAAACACAGCAAAGGTGGGAAGGGACAACTATGTTTACCTTCATTATGGTGGGAGACAGGGAGCCATTGAAGGCTTTTGATCAGGTAAATGTCATCCTCAGAGCTACATTAGAGGAAGATTAATCTGTCAGCACAGTGAATGGTTTGGAGCAGGAAGTGACTGGAGTGGAGGGGGAGATCAGTCAGCAGGCAGTGTAGACAAGCAGTCTGGACAAGAAATAAGGGAGCTTCCTTTAGCATGTTGGCAGTGGAAATAGGAGGAATAAAATAAAAGTGGTAGTGTGAAGATAGTTCTAACAAGCTTTAACAACTGATTAGATAAATGGGTAAGGAGAATGAGGAAGACTGTGACTTTAATTGACTGATGATCTGATGATGTGATTGGCAATAACTGATAAGTCAGAGAGAGGAACTATTAAAGAAGAGAGAAAAGGCCACAAATCTGGGTTTGATATATTCACTTTGTTTGTTTTTTTGTTTTAAATATATTTTATTGGTTTTTTTTATAGAGAGAAAGGGAGAGGGATAGAGAGTTAAAAACATCGATGAGAGATAAACATTGATCAGCTGCCTCCTGCACAAA